GCCTCCCAAGTAGCTGGGACTACAGGCGCCTGCCACAATACCTGGCTATTTTTTGGTTGCAGCCATCATTGTTGTTTGGCAGGCCCGGGCTGGATTTGAACCCACCACCTTAGCCACTTGAGCCACAGATGCCGAGCCTCAAGTTCCTTTTTTTTTTTTTTTTAAGAGACAGAGTCTCACTTTATGGCCCTCCGTAGAGTGCCAAGGTGTCACAGCTCACAGCAACCTGTAACTCTTGGGCTTAGGTGATTCTTTTACCTCAGACTCCCAAGTAGCTAGGACTATAGGTGCCCACCACAACGCCCGGCTATTTTTTGTTGCAGTTTGGCCAGGGCTGGGTTTGAACCCGCTACCATTCGTATATGGGGCCGGCGTCCTACCCACTGACCCATAAGCACCAAAGTTAAATTCTGGGGTACAACGACTTCGAATATCTTTAGTTCAGAAAGGGTCTCTGGAATTAAATTACCAGGAAACATGAATCTGCATGGGATTTTTGTCCCATTCTTTTTTTGGAGACAGTCTCACTATGTCACCCTCAGTAGAGAGCTGTGGTATCACAGCTCACAGCAACCCAAATGCTTGGGCTCAAGCAATTCTCTTGCCTCGGCCTCCCAAATAGCTGGGACTACAGGTGCCTGCCACAACTCCCAGCTATTTTTTTGTTGCAGTTATCATTGTTTAGTTGGCCCAAGGCAAGGTCAAACTTGCCAGCCTTGGTGTATGTGGCCAGCCCCCTAACCACTGAGCTACGGGCACCGAGCCTCTTTGTCCCATTCTAATAAAACAAGTTTGCTAGGGCAAATGTAAAATTTAAACTATTAGCAGGAAAGGTATATCCTGTGGGATCAAGGTCCTCCTGATTATTGAAGAAAGTTGGTTACTTTCTTCACCCTGTGACTACGACTATAGGAGTTATTTCTATTGTGAGTGAGGTTCCAGGGCTCTCTGTCTTTAAAACAATTCAGTAGGCTGGGTGCAGTGGCTCACACCTATAATCCTAGCACTCTGGGAGGCTGAGGTGGGCAGATCACCTGAGCTCATGAGTTTGAGACCAGCCTCTAAAAATAGCTGGGTGTTGTGGCGGGCACCTATAATACCAGCTACTTGGGAGGCTCAGGCAAAAGAATTGCTTGAGCCCAGGAGTCTGAGGTTGCTATTAGCTATGTGCTATGGCACTCTACTAGGGGCAATAAAGTGAGACTCTTATCTCAAAAAAAAAAAAATTCAGTAATCTAAAAGTATTTCTCGTTGGTTTCTGCATCTGTCACTTGGAAAAGCTGTCTCCTATAACCACCATGGCTCTAGGTGGTATACCGGCGCAGGATATAGCCTCTTTCCATTGGGAAGTTGAACAAATGATATTCAGGTCCCCAAATCTGAGTAACTCTTGGGTGATGGCAAGTAGCCATGGAAATTACTTCGTATAGTGGGGTGCCCACAGCTCAGTGGTTAGGGCGCCAGCCATATGCTCCAGGACTGGTGGGTTTGAACTCCGCCTCAGCCTGCTAAACCAAAAATAATAATAAAAATAGCTCGGTGTTGTGGCTGGCACCTGTAGACCCAGCTACTAGGGAGGCTGAGGCAAGGGAATTACCTGAGCCCAAGAGTTGGAGGGTGCTCTGAGCTGTGACACCAAGGTACTCTACTGAGGGTGACAAAGTGAGACTCTGTCTCAATTAAAAAAAAAAAAAAAAGGAAATGACTTTGGATAGTTGTGGTAAAATGTTATGTATCATCATAGGTGAGCTACCCTGCCCCTTAAGGAATTCTGTACCTCACTCCTACACATACCCATTGTCATACCACAGTTCTTTCTCATTCCCTTAATTAGCCAAAAACAGTAAGATCTTGCCAAAGAAAAAACAAAAAAATCACATACCACAGGGCTGCTGCATTTCTCAGAAGACTGAGAAAACACAAGATGGGTGGAGGGAGGGTGATTGGTGGGATCACCTCTATGGTTTATCTTACAAGGGTACAAGTGAATCTTTCTTTCTTTCTTTCTTTT